TGCTGGACGGGGTGCGGGGCCGGGCGGTTGTGGAGTGGGACGCGGGATGCGGGGTCGGGAGGTGCTGGAGTGGGGGTGCGGGGTCGCGCGGTGCTGGAGTGGGGCCCGGAGCCGAGCCGGGTGCGGGGTCGGGATGCGGGCTCAGGCACTGCTCTGGTGGGCCCGGGGACCGGCCATCCTAGCTTCCGTCCGGCTCTGCCCGCAGGGAGGATCTGTGGGTGCGCGGAGGCCGCATTCTGGACCCGGAGAAGCTGTTCTTCGAGGAGCGGCGAATGGCGGATGAGCAGCGGGACTGCGGGGGCTGCATCCTGGCGCCGGGCTTCATCGATGTGCAGATCAACGGTGCGGTCTAGGGCTTGGGGGACAGGGACCCGGAGAAGGTGGTCCGGGCACCGTGCAACCTTCCTCTTTGTTGGCCGTAGGTGGATTTGGCGTTGACTTCTCTCAGGCCACGGAGGACGTGGGTTCGGGGGTCGCCCTGGTGGCCCAGAGGATATTGTCGCATGGAGTCACCTCCTTCTGCCCCACTTTGGTCACCTCGCCACCGGAGGTTTATCACAAGGTGAGGTCAGGCTTCCGGTCTCAAGGGAAGGGGGCTTCGACAGTAGCACCCCTTTAATTTTCAGACTTTTCCTGCCACAGACCCCTTGGCACTTGGGTCTGGCCTCACCCTTTAGCCTCCCCCACCCCCTGGGGCCTGGGGTCCGGGGTCCTGCCCCTAGGCTCTCCTTTGGTGTTCCCCCGCCCGCAGGGGGTCACTGCCTCTGCAGCCCTTCCCACAGGCCTTCGTGTTTATTGTTGAGGTGTCTTCGGGACTAGACGTCCTCTCCATCTCGCACCCTGGCCACCTCCTGGCTCCAGAAACCGATTGCTGGGACTTTCTGGATTGCCACATTTGTACCATCTCCTCAGGTTCATCCCCCCTAACTTGTCTGTGCTGTGTGACTCCACTGAATGTGCTTTCCAGAAAGAAGCTCGTTGTCTGCCCCTGCCGCCCCCTTCCGTCCCCGCTGCTGCTCTTGTGGCTCCCACACACCCTTCCACTTCCTCTCTTCTCTGCATGGCCCTATAGACATTTTCACCCAGGCGGGCTCTCCGGTTTTATTCTTCACCCCACCATCTTGTTGGGTTTCTTTGGGGCGGTGACTTCACATGGTAACCGCCAGAAAGCAGGTGGTATTCATCATGCCTCTTTACCGCTTGATGCTTAGTGGGTTTTGAAACGCGTGGACGTCCCCTTACCCGAGTCGAGTTGGGGAAGGACAGCAGTTACCCTTCAACCGCCCCCCCCCCCCCC